CTCTCCAAGAAGCTCAGTACAGGGCTGGGGAGATGGCTCAGTCAGTAAGGTGTTTGCCCTGCAAGCCTGGGGACCTGAGTTCAATGCCTAAAACCTGTAAAAATGTTTTGTTCTGTCTTAAGTTGGTTGCAATGCGGCGCCACACTCCTTGTAATCACAGAGGCAGGCAGGTGGAAACAGGTGGGTCCTTGGGGCTCCCTGGCCAGCCAGTCTAGCCTAAATGAGAGACCCTGACTCAAAATAAGGTGGGTGGCGTTCCTAAAGAACTACACCCCAAAGGTGGTCCTATGACCTCCACCCATTGTGAACACACACTCACACAAAGGTGCATACTCACAATAACAAGAAAATACAATGGAAATCACATACGGCCCAGCAATTCCCACTCTAGGTAGAGACCAAAAGGAATTGAAAAACAGTTACCAAAAAAAAAAAAAAAAAATGAATCCATCAGACAATAGATATAAACTTTGTGTACTTTGTCTGATTTCGTAAAAAAAAAAAAAAAAAAAAAAGCATGTACCTGAATGTTTACACCACTCAGGGGGCTGAAAAGTGGAAGGGACTCAACTGTCCACCAACTAATAAAAAGGTGATGGAATATATATATATATATCCACTCAGTGAAATATTAGTTGGCCCTAAAAAAGGACTGTTGATGCATTCTACAGTGGTGATAGCATTGAAATCATATGCTACGTGTAAGAAAACAGAGACAAAAACATTATAGGAGTCAATGTATGTGAAATATCCAGAATAGGCCAGTTCACACATAACAAGCAGATAGGCACGGCTGAAGACCAGAACGAAGGAAAAACAGAGTGTCAGCTTAAGGGACATAGGGTCTCGTTCAGGGTGATGAAATGGGGGGGCACTAGACAGTGGTGCTGGCCGTACAGCTTGTGGCTGTATGAAACACCACTGAACTCTGGGTCTAAAGCGGTTCCAAGAGACCGAGACAGACGCCTCAGCAGAGAAAAGCTCTGGACAACCTGAGTTCAATCCGTGGAACCCACGTGGTGGAAGGAGAGAACCAGCACCTGCAAGCCGACCTCTGACCTCCAGGCTCACAGTGTGGCACGTATGTTAAATAAATAAATAGATCATAAATAAATAGATCGGCCTTAGGGTGCAGGGAAGACGACTCAATGGTCAATCCCTTGTTACAGAAACGTGAGGACTGAGTTCAGATCCCCAGCAGCCATGCAAAAATAAGCCAGACCTGGCAGCTTGCACCTGCAATCCTAACTCTAGAAGGAAGAGATTTACAGGCTCAAAGGCCAGCCAGACTAGCCCACCAATGAGCTGCAGGTTCAGCGAGAGACCCTACCTCAAAAAAGAGAGTGGAAAACAACTGAATTCTGATCCCCATGTGCACACACGTGTGTACACACATGTGCACTCGCACGCGCCCGTGAGCGCGCACACACACACACAAGCATAAAATCTGCTTTGCATATTTTGTTTCTCACACCCCTGGACCTAAGGCCACAGTGTCAGGCATATGATAAGATCATAAATAATTCCCTGAAGTTGTGAGAGACAGGACAAGCATGCATGTCTCCCAGTGCATTCAGGCTCTTTCACAGCATCATAAAGCTCCAGGAAAGTTCTGGATCCATGCGTCCCAAACTCCGAAGGCTCCCAAGAATCCCACCGGTTCAGAGGGCTGGTGAGGCCTGGGAGTTGGCATGTGTAACTCAATGCCTGTCTTCCAAGGGCCACACTTCAAGAACATGGCTGCATGACTGCATGCCTTCCATTCATCCACAAAAGAAGAGGTTCTCAGAGAAAGGGCAGGGTCCACATCCTGAGAAACACACCCTCAGCAGGGAGGGGAGATAGGGGGGAAGGTTGGGGGGGCGGACACTGAACCATACTGAGTCAATTTCATAGTGAGAGATCTCAAGCAGGGTCTCAAATTCTGTGTGTGGAAAGGGGAGTTATGGGCTCAGGGAGGGGCAAGATAACAAGATGCAGGCTCCAAGGACCCATTCCCACCCCACCCCACCCCGTGACCTGCTTCCTCCAGATAGGCACTGCCTCCTAAAATACCCAGAAACTGAAACTGTGCCAACTAGTTGGGAATCAAGCCTAACGTGGTAGTGGTGGTGTTCTGGGAGAGGGTCTCGTGTAACTCAATTAAGCCTCAAGCTTGCTGGGTAGCTAAGGATGTGACCTTGAATGTCTGGTCTTCCCATCTCTACCTCCTGAATCCTAAGATTATAGGCATGGGCCACCACACCGTATTATGGAATGCTAGTAGTCAAACCCAAGGCTTTGTACTTACTATCTAGGCAAGCACTAGTCAACTCTACTAGTCTCTCTTAGTCACTTCTCCAACCCAATACAGAAAAGTCTTTTGGGAACATCTCATATCCAATAATAGCAAGCTTCTGTGTTACCAGGGTAAAGGTTTGCAATTCAAGGCTGAACTGGAATAGGACAGGACAGGGAGGAAATTCACAAATTGAACCAACAGATATTTACTATGTGCCTCTACCTACTGTGCCAGAGATTTGGGGTCCTTTCCAGAAATGCCTGCCAACTCCTAACCTATAGTGCCGCCCTCTGCATACGTATGTGTCTCTCCCACTGTGTCTTAAGTCCATCTTAACGGGGACCAGATTTATCTGTGAGCATCTAAAAGCTGGATAAATGAAATATGAAATGCAATTTCTCACAGAAATCCCAATGCCCATCCATTTTCATTTTTTCTTATATCTCAGTGTAAGCATGCATGCATTGTGTGCATGCGCATGTTTATGTGCCCACTCTGAGCATACCACAGTGCATGTGTGGAGGCCAGGGGACAACTTATGGGAGTCAGTTCTCCCCTTCCACCATGGGGGTCCCAGGGGTGGAGCTCAAGTTTTCAGGTCTGACGTCAAGTTCCTTTACCCTCTGAGACATCTTACTGGCCCATGGGCATCCTTTCTGGCCACAAACCCAAGCAATCTGAGCCAAGAGTCTCTGCCTGTTTCAGGAAGTACATACCATGTTGATCAGCAAGTCAGGGACCAAAACCATTCTCATTCAAGGCGCTCAGAGGCTACATGCTCCCTTCCATGGTATACACCCTCAGTGCTGCCGTTCCTCTCTACCCCACCTACTCCTACAGACCCTTCCTAGGAGGCATGCCTCTGACATAAGAAATATGTCAAAGGTCAATGTTACTCATGTAGATGGGGCAAGGGTCTTGACATATAGTCCAGGCTGGCCTCAAACTCTCTATGTAGATGGGGCTATCCTTGAACTTGCTCTGCTCCTGCCCCAACCTCCTGCATACCAGGATTACAAGCATATGTCACCTCATTTGACCTACTTCTGGTTGTAAGAGTCCCATCGAGCATACAGAATTAGTGCCCTTCCTGGTAAAAGATGCCAGATTTTACCTGGAACCACTCAGGACATCTCCCTTACCCTCCCAGTATGTGCTTTTGTTGGCCTCTTATTTCATCTCTGAAAGTTGGTATGATGGCCATCAACCTGCATACCAAACAGAGATGTCCTAAAATATAGCAATACTTACATGGAACCAACTTCATAATGGGAATACAGATACCATCGTAAGCCTTAGGAATACTCAAAGAGGAAGAAGCAAACAGAACTTTCAAGACAAAAAGGAGATCACATTTAGACGTATTGAAACAATGGCCCTCGGTCACAATGATCAGTAGCAAGAGGAGCGTCGGCCCCAAGCTAAGCAGAGTGAGGCTGATATCCTTACAGTACTTCCTGTGTAAGCCTTCAGGGGCCTTTGTCTGAGGTCTACAGTGACAGCTGTTATCCGGCAATCGTGTATAAGAACCTGCCTCACAAGCTACAGCTTTATTTACTGTGTTGTAGAGTTGACATAAGGGACTCCATATTTCTCCTGCCAGCTTGCTTTCCCATTGCTATGCAGAGGTTCAGTAACTTTCTCCCTAAACAAGCCCAGCCCAACCTCCCTACAGGCAGGTCCACCCCTGACACCACTCACGGTGACTCCCCTGCCCTGCTTGACCTTTGACTGTCTAAACTCTAATTCTGGGACTGAGGTACAGGTAAGGGCTAAGGGGTACAGGGAAGCACCCTGTTTTCCACAAGAAATCTCTCCTTAAAAAAAAAGAAAGAAAACCAGCACTCGGGAGGCAGAGGCAGGCGGATCTTTGTGAGTTCGAGGCCAGCCTGGGCTACCAAGTGAGCTCCAGGAAAGGCACAAAGCTACACAGAGAAACCCTGTCTCGAAAAAACCAAAAAAAAAAAAAAAAGAAAGAAAGAAAAGAAAAGAAAAAGAAAGAAATTTCTCCTTTGCTAGAAGACTAGGTATGTATTCAGTGTTGAGGTGTTGAGTTATGGTCTTGTTGAGCTGATCTTGAGAAAGTATCTTCTTTGGAAAAAAAAAATCAGCCCTTGTGAAAAAAACTGTTGTGTTCATGTTTCATTCATTTCTCAGTCTGTATTACATTTTTATTTATTTCATGTACATATCCATTCTATCTATTCATCTGAGTGGGTGTGTGCACGCCACAGCATGCTTGTGGAAGTTAGGGGGTAACTTAGAGGAATCAGTTCTCTTTTTCCCTCCTTTAGGTCCTGGAGACCAAACTCAAGTCGCCATTCTGGGCAGCAGGCACACTTACCCACCCATCCATCTCTCCAGGCCCCATTCATGTATCTAACAAACGGTATGGGGTAGGAGAGATGGCTCAGTAATTAAGAGCACTCCCTGCTCTTGCAAAGGACCCAGGTTCAGTTCTCAAGCCCCCCCCTAACACACACACAGCGGCTCACAACTCTCTATTAACTCCAGGTCCAGGAGATCAATGTCTTCTTTCTGCTCTCCCCTAGCACGTGGTGTACATACATACATGCAGCCAAACATTCCTACATATAAACTAAAATTAAATAAGTCTTTAAAAAATAAAGAGCAGCACATTATCTGGAACTGGTTTACAAAGGTGAATAAGGGAAGGAGACCCCCAGTACTCTCCCCGTAGGAAAAAGAGACACACAGAAAGATTAAACGTCAGCCTTTATAAGTGCAGCAGAGAAATAAAAAAGCAGATGACTCAAAACTCAGCATCTCCAAGTGATGCACTTCCCCCTTCTGAGAAAGATATCCCCAAGGTCCCCAGTGCAGACACCCCACCCCATGCCTGTTCTGCAGCCCCCAACTCCATCCCTTGAGGGGGGACTTGGGCTCTGCCTAGACTCACAAACTGGTAGGAAGGCCTTCAGGAGCCCTGTGATTCAAGCTGTTAGTTTTCATGATGTGGGCAGGTTAGTAAAACAGAGCAGAATATATATTTGCCGTTTCCCTTGAAGGCAACTTCTGGCCTGCCCACAAGGGACCGCAAGTTCCTGAGATCAGGAAGATCTCACTTCTGCAGCTTCAGAGCAAATAGAAGATGAGCTTCTCTCTGTTCCAGCGGCCTCTGGATCCCTGCCTGTCAACCTGCTAGAAAAGAAAAAAAAAATTTAGAATCGTGGTAGTGGTGGTGCTGGTGCTGGTGGAAGTGTGGGGGGGGTGATGATGATGATAGTGGTGATAAGAGGAAAAGGAAGGACCTGCCGGCTGTTACTTCCTGAAAATTCCCTCTACGTGCATCATTTTGAAAGATTTATTTTATTTATTTACATATCTGTGTATCTGTGTGTGCATATATGTGTATGGATACAGGTATGCCAGGAAGCCAGAAGAGGGTGTCAGATTTCCCTGGAGCTGGAGTTATATAGGTGGTGGAGAGCTGCCAGACGTGAGGGCTGGGGATTGAATTCAAGCACTCTTCTTTAGTTTTTTGAGACAGGGTTTCACTGGGTAGCCCTGGCTGTCCTGGAATGTACTCTGTAGACCAGGCTGGCCTCGAACTCACAGAGATCCGCCTGCCCCTGCCTCTTGAGTGCTGGGGTTAAAGGCATGTGCCACCACCCCACACAGCAAGCGCTCTTGATTGCTGAGCCATCTCTGACTTTTTGGGGCCTCGGGACAATAAAAGAAGAGGCCAGTCAGGCCAGCTTTTTCCATTCAGCCAGTGACTAGCAGACTCGGGGTCTGCAAGATGTCTGGACTCCAAATTCCAGGCTGAGCCACCGCTTCCCTGTCTCCATGTGTGTGGGAGCTGTCTGGAATGAGACCTTGGTGGAATCCCGTGATTCTGCTTAGAAAGTCATTCACTGAGTACCAGGCCCAGAGACGACATCACCCCAATATACAGATGCAGAAACATGAACTGAGAAGGGAGAAGTAGCTTGCCACAGAGCTGAGACACAGAGCCCACTCTGGCCATAGTCTGAGCCCCTAACCACTCCACAATTCTGTTTCCTTTCAATTTTAGTGTGTGTGTGTGTGTGTGTGTGTGTGTGTGTGTGTGTGTGTGTGTGTGTGTCACAGTGTGGGTGTAGAAATCAGAGCACAAGAATACAACTTGTGGGAATTGGTTCTCTCCTTCCATCATGTGGGTCCCAAGACTCAGACTCCAATCATCAAGCTCAGTGGCAAGTGTCTTTGGTGGCTGAGCCATCTCACCTGCCCCCACAGCTCTGTTTTCTAGAAGAGACCAAAGGAGAGCTTTCTGTGATGGAAGACAAGGCCCTTGGTGCAGGAGGAGAGGGCAGCCTGGAAGTCAGGAGCATGTCCGAATGTAACCATCCTGACAGAAATAAAGATATTCTCAGGAGACACTCGTGGGGCTGAAGAGGCAACTCAGATGTCAGAGCAGTGATGAGCATGCAGGAAGGCCTGTATGGCCCCCAGCACTGCATAAAACCAACTGTGGCCGCACGCTCCCATAATCCAATACTTGGGAGCTGTGGGAGGAAGGATCAGAAGTTCATGCTGGGAGAAGGAAAAGACTGAAGTCTAACGCCTGCAAGAGAAGGAACTGTCTGTTGGAAAGAGATTTCACAAGGTTCTGTCAATGTACCCCCCTTGTGGCAGAGACTGGAGCCTAGACAATGATGATTGACACGACACACTTTGACCAGGGCCACCTAGTGATGCATGCCTCTGGTCCTCTGCTTAACCCTAAATAAACCTCACGTCAGGACCCTGAAAGTGGGCCCAGGGTTCACTGGGCCTCTGTTCCTCTTCCCCGTGTGGCCCCGTGGAATAAATTTGCTCTCTGATTGTCTCCAGTAATCGTGTCTTTGATTGGCCTGTTGAAAACAAGCAGCTGAAACCAGCCTGTGGGAGCGGCCAAACTCTGAACATAACTCTAGTAACATCAAGCACACCGAAAGAGCTGACCCAGAACCCGGCTCGGGGGTCAGAAAAAGCAGAAGAGAAAATCAACCCAAGCCTTACTCTTCCACTCTGGGAGCATCCTCTTGCCCTCTGTGAAGCTGCCTCCCAGGGACGGCTTGGACAGGACCAAGCAAGACGGTGTAATCCTTGCAGGATTGGGAGTTAGCAGAAGATGGCCAGGCCAGCCCTTCTGTGTCTGAGTGAGGAGCTCCATTAATGCCCAGTCAGCTCCTCCATAAAACGGGGTCGAAGTGCATGCCATCAGTGACACCAGGGTAATAAGGCCGTCAGTGACAGAACTTCTGGGAGAGCACGCTACAAACTACCGCGTGACATTCTGAAGGGAGCGTCCCTGTGCCATTCCGGCAGCACAAAATACACAAGAGCAAAGATGGGAAGATTGCTCGTGACCACACATAATAAACCATCCAGTTATGCTCTGTCCTGCTTGCTCTGTAAAAACCTCAGAGAGGGCCAGGCATGGTGGCGCGTGCCTTTAGTTTAAGCACTCGGGAGACAAAGGCTAGAGGACCGACCTCTTTGAGTTCAGGGTTAGCCTAATTAAGACAAGTTTCAAGCTCTCCAAGCTATTAAAAAAAAAAAAAAAAAAAACCTGCAGAGTGATAACTCAGTAACTCGGTGTTAAGAACTGCTCTTCTAGAGAACTCAGGTTCAATTCCTAGCACCTTCATGGTGGGTCACAACTGGCGGTAACTCCAGTCCCAGAGGATCTGATGCCCTCTTCTGGCCTCTGTAGGAAATGCAAGCGTGTGGTACACAGGTCTTTCCTGGATGGCAAGGTACCATCCCCTCCCCACGTGGGATCTCTCCGTAACCAGTAGGCTCCCCTGCTTTCCTTCTTGCCTGGCTGGCTCCCTTGCCACCCCTTAAACAACAAGCATGTGGCACTCTGGCCCCTGAGCACACTGCCCCAGAACGTCTCCCCACCATGAACATAGTTACCCTCTCCAAGAGAAGGAGGTCTGGGACCTACCGAGCGGGCCCGGGGGCCCTTTACACGGGGTGGACCAGGTTCCTGTCGCAGTGAGGCTTGCAGTGGGGATTGAGCCAGTGTTCCAGAAACTGCTCCTCAGCACGGTGCTCCAGGGCCAGCAGGTGATGCACATATTCCTGTAAAGACAAACCCACAGCAATGGAAGGTGCCCAGAACTCCCAGGCTGGCCTTGCGCTCACAGAGAGCAGCCTGCCTCTGCCTTCTGAGTGCTGGGATCAAAGCTGTGTGCCACACACCCGGCGTCTTCCTTCTTCTTAGTCCCAGTCTTTCACACAGCCCAGTGGGAAGCCAGCCAGCGAGGGAGCCAGATGGTACATCCTGCGGGGCCAGCCTCACTCCAAAAGAACCCTGGGCTCTCTATCTATCCATGAGATGGGAATCACTGCGAAGTGTGTGTGAAACGGAACCACATAAATATTTTTATATAACTCTAAAACAGGGGGGCTGTTGACCAGAAAAGTGGCATTTCACCTTGAGAGAGAATGGACAGATTCAGTCATACAGTATTTGTGGCAAGATTAAATCCTTTTGATATGTATCTATATCAAATATGCATATATATCAAAATTCTTATATGTGTTATATATAATAAATATATATAATCAATATATATATAAATATATATATATATTTTTTTTTTTTGGTTTTTCGAGACAGGGTTTCTCTGTGTAGCTTTGCACCTTTCCTGGAGCTCACTTGGTAGCCCAGGCTGGCCTCGAACTCACAGAGATCCGCCTGGCTCTGCCTCCCAAGTGCTAGGATTAAAGGCGTGCGCCACCACCGCCCGGCATATTTTTTAAGACAAGGTTTCTCTGTATAATAGCTCTGGCTGTCCTGATACTCAATTTGTAGACCCAGGTGGCCTTGAACTCACAGAGTTCCACCTGCCTCTACCTCCCAAGTGCTGGGATTAAAGGCGTGCGCCACCACTGCCCAGCTGAAAAATATCTTAAAGCACATAAACCTTCCTACAGCATTGAAAAGCTTTTCACAGAGGGCCTGGTTTGAACTTTAAGCTTTTATGTTTTGAGAATGTCCTCTAGGAACTCTATAGCCAGTACTAAATACAGTCATTAAAAATAAAAAAGGAAGTGGAGCTGGGAAATAGTTCAGTTAAATAAAGAATTTGTCATACAAGATACCTGAGTTCGGATCCCCAGCACCCACATTAAACAAAAATGGGAGTAGTGACGTATGTCTATAATTCCGGCACTCACGAGGCAGAGACAGAAGGATCCCAGGGCTCTCTGGGTAGCCAGTCTCTCAGAAGAAGTGGAGAGCAACTGAGGACCTCTGGCCTCCACCTGCAAGTACACACAGCCATACCTGCATACCTACACAGGAAAACATGCATCCACATACACCATACATGTGCACACACACCCACAGAAAATCCAGACGTGGTGGTTATATAACTGTAATCCCGGCACGTGGCAGGCTGAGGCAGGAAGGCAGCCCATACATTCAAGGCCAGCCCAGGCAACATAACGAATTTCAGGCCAGCCTGGGCTTAGCATGAGACCTTGTCTCCAAAGAAAAGAAGTGTTTGTTATATGGAGAGAGGGAAGGTTACCATTCCCCTTGACAAGGGCCTAACACACACATACAGGTAAAGCATGGCCACCTACTTAGTGGCATCTACTGCTCTTTGGAACTGGAAAAAATTACACTGAGTGAGGTAACTCGGGCTCAGAAAGACAAACACCACATGTTCTATTTCATATGCAGATCCAAATTCTGGCCTCTAGGGGCACGGCCCTCACATGGTGCACATTCATCCATGCAAGTAAAACACTCCTACACGTAAAATAAAAATAAGCCTATAAAATAAATTTTTTAAGTAAGAGGGCTACATAGAGAGACAGTGTCTCAAAAACAAACAAATCCTGGGCTCAAGAGATTCTCTCTTAGCCACCTAAATAGCTAGGACTATGATACATGCGACCCAGGCCAGGTAAGTTTTATTCATTGGTTTATTTTTTTTATGGTAACAGCCACAGTCCACTGAGTATGTGACTTAGTGCCTGGTGCAGAGGAGGGTCTCAGGACAGCTCACTGAAGGGACATATAAATGAATATATGAAAAGGTTGCCTTCTAGCCTACTAAACCCTCCTCGAAAGGTCCCTCGCCATCTCTGTCAACCGTCTTGCTAGAAGCACCAAATGTACATAAAAGCAAAAGTCAGTATCTATTTCACAGCAGCTGAAGTCATCACTGAAGAGAAGCCATCAAAAGAGACACACACTGAGAACAAGGGAGAAGCCAGCACCGGTTTCCATGACACTTCAGTATTTATTTTAAATGTTAGGGAAATGAATATGCCACAAAGGCCTGCAGGCAGTCATTAGTCAAAGACGAAAAGCCAAAGCACAAATCTGCTAAAAACCACAAATTCAACAATTGCATCGGCTGAGTCCGGAATGACCCAGCATTAATGAGCATCTCAAATGTTCCTGGACGGGGAGAGGAGAGGGAGATGGAAAACAGGTTTTCATTTCTTTAGATTTCCTTCTCCAGGGAGGGAAGAAATTAAACAAAAACAAAAACCAGTATTTGTGTTCCGTGTCAAGTGCTCATTGTAATGATTTAAGTGAATCATTTCCTAGTAATTGGAATGGAAACTACACATAGACCCTCACTGGAGGGGTGTGATCATGAAGTGAAATGTCCAGCAGAGCCTGACCTGAACCCAAGAATGACAGCAAAAGCCTATCAAGGCAGGAACTTCTTCCAACATGTCACCATCCTTTCCGATGACATTCGGGCAGGATTACAGATCCATTGACATTTGGGAGAATTATTTTGCTCATTAGTCAAAGCCAGGTGATCACACAGGCGGAGAGGCTGGCTCAGAAGTGACGTGCCCTGGATCCCCAAAAGCTCCGTGCCCCAGGAAAGCCATATGCGCTGAGCTCGAATGAGACCTCAGTAATTCTGAACCGTCTTTGAGACCACGGGAACAAAAGGATAATGCAGTTCCTAGGACATTTGTCGCAGGGCTAACCATGAAAGAGAATTTACAAAGGCCACTTAGCATAAAGCTAGCATGATTTATCGGCACCCACTAAGAACATGCCTGAAAAGAACACAAGCCAAAATGGCCTCACTTCCTAGAAAGGCAAAATCCCAGAGTGCAGGAGTGCTTATGAACATGATCACAAAAGACATCACCGAAGCCTAAAAGCCACCTTTCTTAAAGAGTTTGTATCATTCTCCCTGGCAATTGGCAAACGTATTCTTCCCTAAAATTTGGAAAGATGAAGAGAGGCTTAACGAGTTTACATGAGGCAATAGAAGATATTTCCTTGAAATAAACTCCAGCCTCCATGGCAGAGTTCTATCCCGCTGGGTCCACACACCCCACCCATCCATCCCAGGAAGCACAGAGACATAACTAGTATTTAGTACACGCCCATCATTGGTTTGGTGCTGGAGACCCAGAAGTGAAACAAGCTGTCCATCTCCTAGAGCCATTTCGAACAGTCTAATGGGAGAGGCATAAAAATATCAAAATTGGGGGCTGGAGAGATGGCTCAAAAAGTAAGGACACACACGGTCCTTGCAAAAGGCCCAAGTTCAGTCCCCAGAGCTCATATTGGGCAGCTCACAACTGCCTGTAACTATTACTCTAAGGAATCCAACTCCCTCTTCTGGACTCCACGGGCCCCTGCACACACATGTCTACATACATACCCACACAGAGACAAACACACCAATGCATAATTAAGAGTAAAAAAGAATCTTTTTAAATAAATAAAAATTTAAGTATTAAACATAAAGTTCACCAGAGCACCACCTTCAATCCTCAGTGAGATGGTAGGGCTGAGAGTCAACCCATTTTCTCTCTGGGCCTTTTTCTAGAAACCCACATTCAGACGGTGTGTTTACCCAACGTACAACATTGTTTTGTAAATTTGCAGGACAGTCTCTCTATCTACAGGAGATACCTTCTCAGCCCCCCAGTGGATGTCTGCAAAAGCAACTGGTGAACTGAACTTCCATATATTATGGTTTTTTCCTACACACACAGGCCTATGATGGTGATGTTTAATTTACAAACTAGGCCAAGTAAGAAACCAATGATAATAATTAATTATAAAATAGAATAATCCAATTGTTATCCTACAGAGCTGGAAGGGCAATTCCATCAGTAAAGTGCTTGCCCCCACAGGGTAGGGCCTGCCTCAGGGCAGGCTGGGTGGGTCTGTCTAGGGAGAAAGTTACTGAGCTTATCCATAATAATGGAAAAGAAAGCTGACAGACCAGATAGCTCCATTAGTAAAACACTTGTCTTGCAAGCATGAGATCTTGAGTTCAATCCCCAGAACCCACGTTAAAACACCCAGGCCTAATGGTGTGCACGTATAATCCCAGTGCCAGGGACACAAGACAGGCAGATCTCTGTGCTCACTGGCCAGCCTGTCTATCCTGCTTGAGGAGTTCCAGGCCCATGAGAGACCCTGTCTCAAAATACAAGGTAGATAGCTCCTGAAAAAAATGATACTCAAGGTTAACCTCTGGCCTCCACACGCATAAGTGCACATGTAAAAGCACAACTGTATACACACACACACACACACACACACACACACACACACACCTCAATATAGCTTATTGGACTGCACTTTCCCTTCTTCCTGTGAGGACATGAGATGATATAATGCCTATGGGGTGGGATGGAGTGAGAGGAAGGGCAGAGGCTTATTGAAGGGGAAGCACAACAATTCTGCAATGGACCCAGTGATGGAGACGGTTGTTGCTCTGAAGAGACTCAATGAGCAAGGCAACCCTTATCAACGAAAGCACTTAACTGGGAGCCTGCTTAGAGTTTCAGAGGGTCAGTCCATGATCATCATGGTGGGAAGCAGACAGACAGAGCGCTGGAGCAGCAGCTGAGAGCTTTATGTCCTGATTCACCTCCTCCAACAAGGACACACTTAATCCAAGAGGCCACACCTCCTAATCCTTCCAAGCAGTCCACTCGCTGAGAACTAAGCATGCAAACATATGTGCCTATGTGAGGCATTCCCATCCAAACCACCACAGAGACTAAGTGACAGACAGGTGACTTGTAGAGAGCGTGGCCACACTAGACATCCCCACCCCAGACAAGAT